CCCTAGGGTTGGCCGCTGTCGGCAGACAGGCTACTGGGCTAGATGGACCTTTGGTCTGACCCAGTACGGCCATTGTAAGCTCAGGGCTCAGGGTCGGGGGTCTCAGTGGACCACCTTGATTTTCATGCACACCTGCTCCTGGGTGGCCAGGCTGGCAGGCCTGGGCGGGGGGAGCCGTGCCAGGTGCAGGGTCTGCGGGCTGGGTGCTGGCAGGCTTGCACCTGGCATGGGCACCGTAGCCAGCCCGTGCCCCTTTAATGGGTCCGGGGCCGGGAGGGGGGCAGTAGAGTTTCCCTGGTGTTGGTCAGAGTGGCCACCAGGGAAAGCTGGGGAGGGCTAGCCTTCCACTAGTTCTAATTAAGGGGCTACACACCCCTTAATTCGAACTAGTAAGTTTGAACTAGGCTTAGTCCTCGTAGAATGAGGTTTACCTAGTTCGAACTAAGCGCTCCGCTATTTTGAATTAAGTTCGAACTAGCGGAGCGCTAGTGTAGCGCCTATCAAAGTTAATTCGAACTAACATCTGTTAGTTCGAATTAACTTTGTAGTGTAGACATACCCTGAATTACTTGCTCTTCTTCAGTAAAGATTGATCCATTACAGGAGCAAGGCACAATAGTATGTCAATGTGGCACAGCTTGTTCTGCTATTTTTGTGGCTAAACAGAGGATTTGGCTATGCAGGATTGTCAATCTGCCTTCTTACCGAGGGCATGTTCACACTGCAGTTAGCCTTTGTAGCCATACCCAAACTCGCTTTGATACTGCTAACTCAAGGCTATCTTAAGTAACAATAGCAGTGAAGCCATGGCAGCATTGGTGGTGGCCATTCGAGTATATATCCAGGGTCCCTTATGAGCAAGGCTAGCCCGTGCCACTACCTGTACTGCCTCAGTCTCCATTGCTCTCACTTCTCCAACTAGCTTTTATCTAATGCTGCAATCACATCTCTTGATTGCAGTGTAAACATAAGCCCCCAAACTAACGTAATGAGAAAAAGATTAAACAAAAGAGTCTGCATTTTGACAGACCACTGAAAAGCTCAATAGTCATACTGTAAAAGAAGAGAGGTTTTTGGCCAGTCACAAGAAAACATTGCATAGATCATACAAAGATATTTCCTCATTCAAGTCCCTGTATTTGCTCCATATTCTGCTTTTCAGCTCATGTTCCATTATAGGAGAGCAAGTTTATCTGCATAGTCAGTAATGAGACAAATGATTTATGCATTGGAAGGTTTACTTTCACTAGTTGTCATTGCCCTGAGGCACACCACAATGAAAATGTCAAAGCTTGGTGAGGAAAGGCCGAAACGTTATTAAAGGCATAAATATCCATCAATAGCAATATTTTAACACATACATTAACATCGAATACTATCATAAGAGGGGGAGGAACAATATGAGGAATAAGCTATATATAAGCCTTATGATGTGATTAAAATGTTAGCCAGCAATTCCAGCTGCCTTTGAATGTTTTAAGCATTGTGTGTTTCAACCACTTTGTGCACAGCTGTTTTTGTTAGTGTTGCAGCCAGTATGTTTGCATGCAGTTGCAGCATCTGGCTGGTATTATCCAGGCTGCTCATATATTGAAGCCACATGCTGTAGAGGGTATATTCTCTCAATCCAGAAGACAAGTGACAGGATTAATATTTTCTCATTATGTACAAGACTAGTGAGAAAATTCATATATTTGTAGTCTATAATCCTTACACAGTATATCCTTAAAGGACACAACAACTGTTTCACCAGGTCTCTTTTTTTTAATCTTTTAACTGTTGTATCTTTTCCCACCAACTCCAATATTATTAAATAACAGCATATAAAAATAGTGTAATGAGTACAATTGGATTTGCCTGGTCTGTAAATTGAGGAACGCTGCACAATTGGTTGTAGGTAAAATCTCCTTCCCCTCAAAATTAAAAAAAAAATATCCCTCTTCTGTTTGCAGCTTATTTTCCATCATATCTCCTTGATAACAAATGGCCTGATATTTATGAAAATTAATAAAAAGAATTATCACAAAAAACAAACTGCCTTCTAGTTTATTCACAGTATTCATCTTTCATTAAGGTTTGCATTTTGTGCTTCTGCATTTCTCATTGAGAGGTAATTGATGTCAGAACTAGTAACAGCCACCATGATGAAGAATGGATGGATAAACAAGTTAGGGATAAAAGTGTGTCTTCAGTCCACCATCGGTATAATTATGTTTAAAAAATCCACACCTCTTAGTGACACATTTATACCTTCCTATACCTAGGGTAGACTGTCTGCAGGGGAACTTCTCCCATCTGCATAGTTACTGCCTCTTGCAAGGTGGATTAACTCTTCTGATGGGAAAAGCTGGCATCATTGTAGGAGCATCTTCACTGAAACAGTGCAGCTGCACCCATCCAATGCTTTAAATATAGACCTAAACGAGAGGCATTGGTTAGTAAACATTTTGTCAGAGAAAAATAAAAATAGTTGATTAACGAGAATAAAAACTGCTGAATCCTAAAACTATGTTTTAAAATTTTTTTTCAGGAACTTCTATTACATCACAATGCTGAGGGATCCGGTGTCACGGTACCTGAGTGAATGGAAACATGTCCAAAGAGGTGCAACGTGGAAAACTTCCCTCCATATGTGTGATGGAAGAAGTCCAACGCCAGATGAGCTGCCTACCTGTTACCTAGGGGATGACTGGTCTGGAGTCAGTTTGCAGGAGTTCATGAATTGTGGTTACAACCTAGCTAACAACCGCCAGGTTCGCATGCTGGCAGACCTAAGCCTGGTTGGATGTTACAACTTGACTTTTATGAATGAAAGCGAGAGAAATATGATCCTTCTCCAGAGCGCCAAGAACAACCTGAAGAACATGGCCTTTTTTGGACTCACAGAGTTCCAGAGGAAAACACAGTATCTCTTTGAGAGGACATTCAACCTCAAGTTCATTTCCCCATTCACCCAGTTCAATATTACCCGGGCCTCTAATGTGGATATTAATGAAGGGGCCCGGAAACGCATAGAGGCATTGAACTTCCTGGACATGCAGCTTTATGAATATGCTAAAGACCTCTTTCTGCAACGCTTTCAGTACTCCAAGCAAGAGGAGCACCAGAAGAACCGGCAAAAACGGCGGGAGGAGCGGAGGCTCCTCCGTGAGCAAAGGGCTCACCAGTGGCAGAAGGAAGAAGCAGCAGCAGAAATAGCTGTTACTGAAGATTACAACAGTCAGGTGGAGCGATGGTGACACTTCACCTTAGCTGAATAAAAGAGAAGATAATTGAAAACACTAATCATTTCTTAAACTTGGTCACTCAGAGATTAGACAAGGAATGAGTGTTGCCTTGGTAAATGAGACTCAGCTGCCCTTCTTTGTCTTCATTTTTCTTAGTTTCTATCTGTTAGGAGACTATATATATATATATAATTATCCAAAACTGAACTTCTTTCAAAGGCCCAAGTAATGAGAGTGGCTTGAAAAACTTGCTCTTTTTTTCCTTTTTCTTTTCACCAATGTTCTCTGTAGAGTTTGAGCAGCTGAAACTTGTGATGCCATGAATGAAAAATCACAGAACCACTGAGGTGCTGAAGCTGGTGTATTTCATACTGTCATACTGTTAGCTGTGCTATGCAGTGAATGCAACAGAGTAAACCATGTTGCCCTTCAGATGTTTACATGCAGTGTTTTAAGTAAGAAAAAGAACATACTCAATGGGATTAAATTATATTTAGCAGCAGATGACACACCGGGCAGAAACTTTTTTTTTCATTTCTGAAATCCTGCAGTCATGGGTGCATGGGTGGTTTATAAACAAAATGTGTTAACTTAATCCCTTGCAGGTTTTGTGATACATCATCAAAATCGGGAGTTAGCAGGTTCCATTTTGAGAGAATCTGGCAAATGAACAGCATTACTACAACCGCTGAGAAACAAGATACATTTTGTAGAACTGTGTGGGGAAGCTTGCACAGGCCTATTCACACTCTCTGGGTGGAGGTAACAATATCAATTTTGACTTTCATAAAAGGTGACATCCACACAGGGTGTGGAATTAAGAAAAGCAAGAAAAAGAGTGGAAAAGGGTTAAGTATTAGTCTGACATTTTCCAAATCTGTTAAGCACTTTGTTCATAAAGGTGCATTTAAATTCTGAGAAGTAACATTGTTTTATTACCAGACACAATAGTGGCTGTGATCCATAGAAATGTGCACTTAAAATACACAATGAATGTGTAAATAAACTTATATTTGTTGCTCATGTTAGTGTACAGATCTTCTGTGCATCATGTTGCAAATATATTTGTGCCAATGCTGAAAGTGATGCTATTCTGCAACTCTGTACATTCCAGACCATGTCGCTCTTTATTCCTTTTTCTGCTTTGACTAGAAAAGACGTCATTATGAGGGGGTTTTGTCTCCATGCTTTAAGTTATTGTGTTTAAGCTGTATCCACTTCTGGCTTCTTTTTCTGATTTGTAAAAAAGAGGATATTATACTTTATAGAGACATTAAAAACACATTTTCCCTTTTCTAACATAAATCTAGCCAATTAAGAGCCACCTTTCTTGCTACATATACAACTTCCATCACATTTGTCACTCATTTTGCATGCCCAGTGCCTGATTCTGATTTAAAGTCCGATCTGCAGTTTGAACACCAAGGACTGTGTTACTAAGTAGTGTTGCTGTGTTTAATTCATTAGCTCGCTTACATTATTTTTTCCACCAAGGTTAAGTGACTGGTTTCCCTGGAGTTCTGATTTACAGCAGCATGTGTTAGATCAGAATCAGATGCCACTGAATTACAAACTGGTGCAAGTTTCACTGCACAGGATCCTGTACTGGTCATTCAAAAAGGTGGACTTCTCTGATAGTGCTAACTGCTGTATCCTGACTAGTAACAGCAGCAGCATACTCAGAAAAGATATCTAAGCTTGTACTAAAGCACTTATAATGATTTGGTTCTTAAGAGATAGTGTTCGTGGAGGGAACTGATTACAGCATTCTCCATTTTTCTTTTAGGGCATATCAGTATTTTTAAGATGCTGATGTCCCTTTTCATGATTTTAACTTGTCTTTGTCTAATGTATATTTCAAATAAATGTTGGAAGGAAAATCAGAACTTCCCACCAGTTGCAATGTTTACGGTGAAAGGATAGTTAATAGATTGTAAATTTATCTTCTTTAGGGATTCTTCCTTTTATTTATGTGCAATAACGTGTATGAACTAAAATAGAAGCTTGTATTGTGAGTGACCATATCTACTTTTATTGCTATGTAAAAGAATATTTGTAGAACTGAAGATTTTCATTGATGTAAAGCACAATTTAATGAATTATTTAATGTTAAATCATTGTGATGTCAAACAATGGTTTTCCCATATTTATTTCAGTGATTTTTTTTCTGTAAATCGAGACAATGTTTGTACTAAACACTTAAGGAACATGTAAAAAACCTACAATGAGGTTTTGTTGAATTTTGTTCCATGCATTAGTAATGAACAATAAACATTGATTCCATTTTTAAAATTGTATTTAATAACCCCATGTAAGTTACTAACGGGTGGCTACTCTTAACTCAGTTGCTCTTAGTATTATTAAAGATTTATCATGTCCACAGGCACAGTTCAACAAAACATGTATGGCAAAAAACATTTTTAAAACCATTGCATTCTGTCATGACTTGATCACTGACTTCTCTGGGATGTTGAATTGATTCACTGAGTTCAACAAATTAGGATGAGGGCCCTAATACTGTTTTTAAGTGGGTTAGAAATACAATGGGTCACATTCTGATCTCCTTATGCAAATCTGAATATGGAGTAACTCCATGGAAGTCAATGGGATTAACTCTAAATTTACACCAGTCTAAAAACAGCAGAATTTCTCCATGGTTAGCAGTACACTAGTGAGATAGGGGCTCAGAATTTACAGTCCAGATCAGTGGCCTTGCCTCTAACCTGGCTTGGTAAAACTGCAGCAGTAGGCTCTGAAATAGAGAGGGCTTCTCATTGTTCTCCAGCAACATCCACTAGAGGATGCTTGGAGCTCTGGAGGGACCTCATTCCATTCTTCTCTGGGAGGATTGCTGCACTGTGTCAGGTCTTTGGAGCAATGACTGAAGGACAGAGAGGCAGGAAGTAAGTCTGGTGGCTCCTCTGTGCTCTCAACAGACTCACAACTTTGTCTTTATAGCTAACTTTGTAGGCCTTGCTTATATTCCAAAGGAACACTGACTTTCTGTTAGCTAGGGTAACCATACGGCCCATTTCAAAGGAAATAACAAACCTGGAGGTGACAAGAAGACCATATACATGAAAGAAAAAGTGTGATGTTAACCACACTCATAAACCACATCCATATTTTGTTAGAAAAAAGGACTGAGACAGCAGTGGATGATATTGAAATTTTGATTAAACTCTTAGGGTTGAAAGGGGATTGCTTATGTTTTGACCCCACAGGTTACAAAAAATAGGAGAAATCTTTGAGCAGTTGGTAGGAAATCTGTTTGTATTTCCCCAAAATAGAATGTAAATAGGTACGATTATTATTATAGGCAATCAAATGACTTATAATCTTATCATTATTTAAAATAAAAATGTAGGGAGTACTGTAAATTTATAGAGGGGGTTGTAAAGACAAAGACAAAGCCTAGCTACCTTACTCACATAAGTTGTCCTAGTACAGCCAATGAGTGAAGTGAGCAGGATTCTGTATACTAAGTACTCATATTCCTATTCTGAACAGTTTACAGCACTGGGGGGTGGGGGAGAGGACAAATGTATGTTAGATGAAGTGGACCTGTCACTAATGATAGAGAAGGATCAGCAATAAAGAAATTCATTATCCCACCGCAAACATAGGCATATATGAGGTTGCCAAGAAATATAGAGAAGAGTGGGGGAGGGGAGAAATAGGCACAGAACCCCAAGAGATATCAGCAGATAAAAAGAGGGAGATGAGCAGATATCCCAGATGAAAGAGCACCCCTCAAGGTAGAGTAGGAAGTGCATCAGAAGTGCACAGAACAAAGGAAATCAAAATGCAGCGTGAGAGTACCATAAGGAAGGGTGAGTGATCCTGTATATTAAAGGCAGCAGCAAGATCTAGAAAAAGACAATTGAGCAGGAGTCTTCCAACTTAACTAGCAAGGTCATTAACTAACTGGGTCAGGACATTGTGGGACCCATGTTACAAAAGGGTAAAAGAGAAAGCATCAGAGGCAGATGTATTTAGTTGGGAATAAAAATAACCAGCTGTCTATTTGATCCAGGACAAAGATGAATATTCCAGCCCAGAATGTGAACCTGAATACTCTGTCAAACACTCCACCATATTTAGAATAGATATAGTAACTTGGATGAAAGGCTGGGTGAAATTCAATGGCCTGTACTATGCAAGTGGTCAAACTAGATGATATAATGGTCCCATCTGGCCTTAATCTATGTCCTACTGACAGGCAATTGTGAATTGCCAAGCACATACCCAGTCAAAACAGATGTGTGAATTTTTAGGTAGCAAGTGACAATTCATGATTGCTCAGCGGGAACTGATGGAACTTAAAATACACATTAATGAAGATGTCACAGCTAGAGATGTTCAAATATATGATTAACCTGATGCAGGAATATGCATGTTAATTAACAATCTGCTATTAAGTGAAAAATAATCCTAGCTTAAATCAATCAGAAACTAACCATAATGAAATACTATGGTCATCATCATAAATAACAGTGTGATTGGACAGACTAGTGATGCTCCAGTCAGCATAGAACCGCAGCAATTAAATGAGTGACACTGAATGGCTGGTAAAAGACGGTGAAGAACTATAAAAACGAATACTCTAGAACCTCACTAGTTTTTTTTCTGAATGTCAGAGCCATGGTGAAGTACTGAATTTTGTACATGCACACACACACAAAGGATAACATCTCACAAACTGAATTTCCCTTTGTGCATTTGCCAAGTGGAACTTAATGTGAATTCTTTATAATACTTAAGTTACCAGTAAACCCTGTCATATTATGTAAAAAATGTCTTACTAATGGGAGACAGCACTACAGCTTCTTTTGTCATTATTCAAGAAAGAAAAGTAGACTTTTGTCGACAAAACTATACCTGCATCTACATTACCACCGAGTTCTGTTGACATAATGTTGACAGAACTCAGCAGTTTTGTCGACGGTGGTAAACCTCATTCTACAAGGAATAACGCCGTTTGTCGATAGAGTTCTGTCAACAGAAGGCGTTATTGCTTCTATACTGTCCTTTGCATCTATACTCTCATGTCGAAGAAGCGCCTTGCTTTGTCGACAGAACTGGATGTAGTCTAGACACCCTTTGTCAACAGAAGCTTTGTTGACAGTATCTGTCGACAAAGCCTCTGTCGACAAAAGCCTGTAGTCTAGACATATCGTAATAGATTAATTTTATGTAAATGAATCATTGTGGTCTATCCCAGCTCAGGTTAAAGATAATGGCAGCTTTCAGCTTATCTCTGAATCAGCTGAGCTGTTAGCGCTCTAGGCCAAGGATTGACTTCAAACTACTACTCCTGGCAGCTAGCCAACTCTTCCTTTGCTGGATTTTGTTTTAAAGAAACATCTCTGTTTATATACTCACAGAAGAGTTCAAAGCTGTTTACAGCACATCCTGGAACAACTCTGTGAATCAATAACTTTAATTCAATTTTAACCATCATATCAAAACGCTGGAGTTGTAGTGTTAAGGCAAGAGGGACAGCTAGATCTTCTAGTTTGGCCTCCTGAATATCACCAGCCTTCAGGCCTCACCCAGTAAACGCAAGAACCACAATTAGAACAAAGTATTGCAGCACACAAGAGACTAAACTAGTATGTGCTCCAGGCAGAGACTAAGAATCAGAGAGGCCTTTTTAATGGCAGAGTGTCAGGAATCAGGGTCTGCTACCACAGAGCTAATCGCCAGGCAGCCCCATCAGTACAGCTGACCTGCAGCAGGCTAACTGACCAGCTACAGAGGTCCACAAGTCACTCTTAAACCAGCAGTGGCTCACTGGTTTCTCTGTGCTCATACCCACCACAAATGTTTTCTGTAAGCTGTGCACTTGTGTGGCCACTCAGGAGAGATTCAAATGCCACCCAGCTGATTAGCAGGAAGCCCACAGCTAGGTTTTTGTTTGTTTGTTTGTTTGTTTGTTTTGTTTCTTCTTTGTTTGTTTGTTTGTTTGTTTGTTTTGTTTATTCTGTTGGTGCACATTGGCACATATTTTGCAGTTACTACATGAGGAGGTAAAGAGTTGTCACATTTACAGCCCAAATAAACCATATAATTTACTTCCCAAACCACTGAGAAAACAAGTTGTTGAAGAACCCTCTGTGCTATTACTGGGCATTAGTACATCAGTAAATAGTCTTCACTATATTTTTGGTCAGTTCTTCACTTTTTCCTGTTCTAAATGTTGGAGCCATCTCTTAAATGGAGAGGAGGAGTGTAGTGGCAACTCTGGAGCACAAGTTGTTTGAGGTTGCTTTTTGTGATTAAACTACTTTGCTAGGAACCAAGAATAATGTTTACAACTCATTTTTGTTCAGTTCCGTATGGCCCCCTCTCTGAGCCAATCCTTTAGAATCTATCATCTAAAGGTTTATTACCACAAGAAAGAAAAGCATGAGAGTGAGGTTGCTAAAGTATCATACATTACATGCATCGAATCTCCCAGTTCTCGATGCAGGCTCTAAAAGAGATGTTACAGCTGCTGGCTTAAAAGTCATTGTTGCGCATCCTAGATCAGGATGGGTCCACAATTCTTCTCGGTCCTTTGATCCCTGCACTGCTGCCTCTGGGATAAAGTTCTGAGCTGAGTACCAAGATGGAGTCAGCCACATGGCATCTTTATTCATCCTTCCTGCTCTCTTCTTGGCTGCAGCAGGTCACCTGGCCAGCGGCCTATCAGTGTGTTCCCTGCTGGTAGCTCTTAGGTGTTGGTCAACATTCCCGAGGTGTGTCCTTGGCTCATTGAGTGCTATTGTCCCACACGGCCTCGCTAATTAGCATGTCTATAGGCCAGGCCCTGCCCAATGCTCAACCACATTCAGAGAGACTTCCAGACTCCATACAGAATACAGATTCCTAACTCCACACACAGACATTGTACAGATATATGAAAAGCAGATACAGAATCAGAAGAAAGTAAGCTTTTGTTTGACCCCTCACATGGCCCCCTTTGTACCACTTTTGGGGCAAACACCCCCCATGGGTGCAGCAGTGACCCGGCTGCTCCCCTCATAATCCAATAATGTGACAGCGCACATACAAATTTATTCCACACATGAATGGAAGAAATCCTCACATGGATGAAGGGAACATTGTGTGCCACTGTGCCTGCTCCTGTGTTACCTTGTGTGACGGCGCGTTGGGGGTCCCCTGTCTCCTGCACCCCGCAATGGCACAAACA